AGACCTAACCCAGACCTAACCCAGACTTAATTCAGACCTAACCCAGACCTAACCCAAACTTAATTCAGACCTAACCCAGACCTAACCCAGACTTATTCCAGACCTAACCCAGACCTAACCCAGACCTAACTCAGACTTAATTCAGACCTAACCCAGACCTAACCCAAACTTAATTCAGACCTAACCCAGACCTAACCCAGACCTAACCCAGACTTAATTCAGACCTAACCCAGACCTAACCCAGACCTAACCCAGACTTATTCCAGACCTAACCCAGACCTAACCCAGACTTAATTCAAACTTTTGAAGATTTTATTCAAATTTATGTGAGTTGTTTCGTGTTTACAGTGAGATATAATGCATCCAAAATTTGTGTCAACGTATGTGTAAGATTTTGCTTCTCGAGAGATTAGAAAATCGGTTTCGAATTACGTAAAAGTGAACGCAACTGGTATAATGTTAAAGTGTAACGAGAATTACGTTTATCTGATCGCATCAGTGAGATAGAAGAAGTGTAAGAGGGCTATACTTAGTAACAACGATATAAATATAACCGTACAATATGTCTCAAGGTTCTCTTTTAATTTTAGAAGAAATTCGCAAGAATACCTGCGGTGTCTCGATATAATGCCATACGTAAAATGTATTACACGTTACTCTCTTCCTACAGAAACTGAATTTCTCTCAGATCTACACTCTCGTTCGATAATATGTACATACGATCATGAAACTGTATGTAATCGTTGTGAGTTACAATATTATCGATTGCACGAGAGTTTTACAGAGCGAGCGCCGTGATTGGTCAGTGTTTTTCGTTAATAATTCAAAAACGAAGCTCCATTCGACATTTTTGGAAAGGAAATTGTTGTTCAGAATCGTCTCAGCTACCCCCCATTTCCGGTTCTTGCACTATTTACGGGACACCCTGTATAAGCAGAATATTTTTTATTGTTTGATCTATCTAACTAAATAAATCTACTATGATTCTAATTTCTAGTAAAATTTCTGAAAATTTGCTCGACTAAATTTCGTTGAAAATTCACCTTAATATTCTACAAGAGAATAAATAAACACTTATTTCCATTTCATTCTAAATTTCACCGCATATAAATCGTTCCAATTCCCCCGATACAACTAAATAAACACTCTACAATCGTCCATAGTCCCAGTATCGATATTTCCCCGCTCGTATCGAACAAAATCGCGGAACAAACCGTTCCAGGTAACCGTTGTATCAGCAGCTCCTTCCATGGAAGCGCGCGCAGCCCACAATCGGTTGACACTTGCCCGCTGCCAAGACGCCCCCTATTACTCGCTCGCGGCGTTCGCAACGTGCCGCGGGTCGCTCGAGTTGGAAGGACAGCGGTTTTAAAATAAGCTCGCGCGAGTCCCCGAGCGCTCCGCCAATCGGTGCAGTCTCTCGGACGTGCGCCGTCTCCCTTTCAGCAGTCGTTGATCGTCCACCGTTCTCGCAACAGTCCTCCTCGTCGTCGTGATCGTGTTCGCGGTTCGTCGTGATCGTGATCGTAGTCATCTACGCTAGTAGACGCGTTAAGCTCGAGTCTGTGGTCTATTCGTGCCCCAAATCAGCGCTCACCGAACGATACACCAGAGTCAGAGAGAGACAGAGAGAGATAGAGAGTGTGTGCGCCAGGTGACACGTGGTGCCGGGTTCGCGTAGTGTTTCGTTCCGCGTGCAACACGCTTGGACGATTTGTCAGAGTTCACGGGGTTCTTGTTACCTCTGTTGTTCTTGTTACCGCTGTGCGTGCGATGTCGGGTTACGGAAGGTGATCTCCTTGAAAGGATACTCGTGTTTGGTGCGGTAAAAATAGAAGTAATCAGCGTTGCAACAGCGTCCCGGAAGCGGGACGCGGGAAAACGATACGCGATCGAAGCTCCAAGGCGCGTTTTCCAGGGTAGATTCGTGAATTATTCGCGTCGAACGACCCCTTCGACCGTGAGATGACTGTAGATCATGGACGGTACGCTTCTATTCTCGACGATCATATCAACCCCTCTGACTTACGATTTAATTTCATTTTGGTTTATTTTAATATGTAATGTTGGAATCCGGTTGGTCAAGTAATGCTCCTTTTGTATAGTAAGAGTTTATTCATTTACATTGAACTCACGCCGAACTCAACTATTAAGAATGACGGAATTTGCAGCGGAATTTGACTTTTTGGCGAGACGTTAACACCAGCAGACTTCTTGTGCAACTCTCAGCCCCTGGGCCCTGCGGGCCGGGTATATATATGTCTTATCAATAGTAGGGGAGGAGGACCCTTAGAACTAGTGACTAACGAGCCTTGTGACTAACAGACGATGACGTATCGATCTTTGACCTATTGGTCATCCAACAGTAAGCTTCATGATTGTGAGACTTGACATTAAGAACTGGTCAAGATAGAGATTCTACCAGTAGCTAAAAATTGAATATCGAAAGGTTGTAGACATAAATTTTCAGGGAAAAACGATGGGCCAAGGCTAGATTCAGCAGAGGATAATTATCGTTGGAACGTCGCGAGTTGTAAAGCTTGCTGATTGTGAATTATCGTACGCTTGAACGACGTGGCCATGTTAGTTAGTTAATTTGTCAGTTAGTTAGTTAGTTTGTCAGTTAGTTAAGTAGTTTGTCAGTTAGTTAGTTAGTTTGACGAGTTACTTAACCCTTTGCACTCCGAATTATATTTCAATTTTGTTACCAGCAGCTCCCAACAACAACAACAAAATTATTAACAATTATGTATAATTTTTAGTGTTATAATAAAAATTGATTCCAGTGATATCTTAAAATGAAACACAATGAAATTCTTATGAAATAGCATTGTGGTATAAAAAAAAAGTTATTTGATAATAAGAAAAGTTAATTTTTAGTAGGATAATAAAAATTGACTGTAGTGATATTTTAAAATGAAATTACTCGATCGAGTTAAGTGTTTTATTTGAAATTTACCTGTTAATTTACCTGTTTAGGTCTGAATTAAGTCTAGGTTAGGTCTGGGTTAGGTCTGGGTTAGGTCTGAATGAAGTCTGGGTTAGGTCTGGGTTAGGTCTGAATTAAATCTGGGTTAGGTCTGGGTTAGGTCTGGGTTAGGTCTGAATTAAATCTGGGTTAGGTCTGGGTTAGGTCTGGGTTAGGTCTGAATTAAATCTGGGTTAGGTCTGGGTTAGGTCTGGGTTAGGTCTGAATTAAATCTGGGTTAGGACTGGGTTAGGTCTGAATTAAGTCTGGGTTAGGTCTGAATTAAGTCTGTGTTAGGTCTGGGTTAGGTCTGGAAGAAAAATTAGATTTTCTAATTAGCAAACTCGTCTTTTTAGGAGTAAATTAAGATCTAACCCAGACCTAACCCAGACTTCATTCAGACTTATTCCAGACCTAACCCAGACCTAACCCAGACTTCATTTAGACTTATTCCAGACCTAACCCAGACCTAACCCAGACCTAACCCAGACCTAACCCAGACTTAATTCAGACCTAACCCAGACCTAACCAGATTTAATTCAGACCTAACCCAGACCTAACCCAGACTTATTTCAGACCTAACCCAGACCTAACCCAGACCTAACCCAGATCTATCCCAGACCTAACCCAGACCTAACCCAGATCTATCCCAGACCTAACCCAGACCTAACCCAGACCTAATCCAAACCTAACCCAGACCTAACCCAAACCTAACCCAAACCTAACCCAGACCTAACCCTCGTTATCAGCGATGAATTGGTCTGGGTTAGGTCTGGCATAAGTCTGAATTAAGTCTGGGTTAGGTCTGGGTTAGGTCTGGGTTATTTGATTCTTTTACATATATATGTTTGACAGAACTTTTAACAGTAGAACTGTAACAACTCATTCTCAAGTTTACATGTTAAAGAAAATAAATTTCAATAGTCTCCATAAATTTTAACGAGGTTACGAAAGCAACTACTACGACAACTTTTAACTTGTATAGTTTACAATTGCCTAAAATGAAAGTTTTGGTCCCGTTAACAATTTTAGGATTTTAGACCTGCAGTCAACGTGTGAAAGAATCAAAATTTTAATCAACAATCAATGGAAAAGATGGTCCCCTAGAAGACGCTTCCACTCTCGAGTCTCCAGTTTCTTTCACTACATTTCGTTATTTCGAAAGAATTTATCAATTCCTGAAAGACGAGAGGTTTCGCCAGGTCGACGGTTGTGTTTCGTATTAATGCAGCCGATATTAAAGCGGGTCGAGTTTGTACACAAAGGCACGGCCCCGATGGGCGATCAAAGGGGGCAATGTTTCTCGTAGCACTTCGTTAAACGCGCGTGTTTCCTCTCTTCGTCCTCTTTGTGTTCGTCGGTTGCACGGTATCCGGGATTCCCGGCGTGTTCTCGCGTTAATAAGAGCATAAGTCACCGTGCGCGGAGACGTTGTATTTATAAGATCGATTATTCTTGGAACGTCGCGGCGTGCGCTCTGCCGATGTGTATTGTTACGAATCCGACCGTGTTCCCATTTAACGATTCATTTACGATTCCTAATGTCATCGACGCAACGTATCATTCTTCCAAACAGAATCTAAAACGATAGCAGCGGTATATATTCCAAAGAAAAGGAAAAAACAATCGAATCGGTGTTTTCGTGCTTTCGAATCTCATTCAAAATCGAGGCTAATTCCAGAACTTTGAATCCTTCTACTTTTCGTTGCACCACAAATCCGAATTAGTAATTATTCACACCCTCTATATACTCAAATACATTTAAATTCCCGTAATTTGATGAAAGATTTCAAACGTTGATAGTGAAACGCTGATAGTCGCAACGTGTGTTCCTCGATGTATATTGTTTCGAATCCACCGTGTTTCGTTCGAAGATTCCTCGACTGTTAATCCCAACTCGCGTGGTTTTGTCTTCGTAAATTTAAAAATCGTTCTTTGGATCGGACAATCCACCCGCGAAAGAAAGTTGTGTGAGTTGCGCGCGCATAGAGTGTCCGGTTGCGTCGGCTGACCACAAATATTTGAATTACAGGAAACGGTGGTGAACGATAGTCGGGGAGAGGCTCGTTTCGATCGGGAAAGCAATTGTGCCTGACAAGTGAGGTATACGTACCCGATTAGAAATTAACTAGTGCGTCTGTTACGAACCGCGGGATCGAAAGTGCTCGGAGGTGAATCTATTGAGTGAATCCGCGAGCGGATGCAGTGGAGAAAGTGGTTGGAGCCGGTGCATGGTCAGACGATCAGTGGTGAAAAAAGAGGAAGAAAAATAGAAGCAAAAAACGAGCACCACACGATTGGGAATTATGTGACGAGCAGATGTCATCATGGGAATTCAAAGCACCGCTCAGTTCGTCGAGAAGTACCACCATATTATCGGTGAGAAACTATTTTAGTTATTTTATGTTATTGTTAGTGGATAGAGGAAGAAGAAACTGTGGAAATTGAGGATGATTTTTGAAATTATTCGTGTAATGTTCCTGGCGATTGATCAGTTATGGATACGAGCATAGTTTGAATTATTAATGGATTGTTTGTATTTATTTACTTTTTCCATTGATTGTTGATTAAAATTTTGATTCTTTGACACGTTGACTGGCAGTCTAAAATCCTAAAATTGTTTACGGGACGAAAAGTTTCATTTTAGGCAATTGAAAACTACACAACTTAAAAGTTGTCGCAGTAGTTGTTTTCGTAACCTCGTTAAAATTTATGGAGCCTATTGTGGCGTCGCCTCTCATGCTCGCCACCAGAGGGGTCGCGCTCTCACAAGCGCGAGACCGACCCCTCGTGTATATACACTCCTCGAACGACTTCCCAATATCCCAGTCGTCTAAGGCAGGGCCTGCTAGAAAGCCTTACTGATGGAGTCCCCTAGCAGGCCCCGGACGAAACGCGCACCCTCCTTTCCTTTTCTGTCCTCCTACGATTTTCACGAGATCCCTACCCGCAGCGAAGTAGCGCCACACTATTAAAATTTATTTTCTTTAACATTTCAACTTGAGAATTCATTGTTTTAGTTCCACTGTTAAAAGTTCTGTCACCCATATATATATAAAAGAATAAAATAACCCAGACCTAACCCAGACTTAATTCAGACTTAATTCAGACCTAACCCAGACCTAACCCAAACCTAACCCCCGTTATCAGCGATGAATTGGTCTAGGTTAGGTCTGGAATAAGTCTGAATTAAGTCTGGGTTAGGTCTGGGTTAGGTCTGAATTAAGTCTGGGTTAGGTCTGGGTTGGGTCTAAATTAAGTTTGGGTTAGGTCTGGGTTAGGTCTGAATTAAGTCTGGGTTAGGTCTGGGTTAGGTCTGAATTAAGTTTGGGTTAGGTCTGGGTTAGGTCTGAATTAAGTCTGGGTTAGGTCTGGGTTAGGTCTGAATTAAGTCTGGGTTAGGTCTGGGTTAGGTCTGAATTAAGTCTGGGTTAGGTCTGGGTTAGGTCTGAATTAAGTCTGGGTTAGGTCTGGGTTAGGTCTGAATTAAGTCTGGGTTAGGTCTGGGTTAGGTCTGAATTAAGTCTGGGTTAGGTCTGGAATAAGTCTGAATTAAGTCCTAACCCAGACTTAATTCAAACTTAAACCAGACCTAACCCAGACCTAACCCAGACCTAACCCAGACTTAATTCAGACCTAACCCAGACCTAACCCAGACTTGATTCAGTCCTAACCCAGACCTAACCCAGACCTAACCTAGACTTAATTCAGAGCTAACCCAGACCTAACCCAGACCTAACCCAGACTTAATTCAGACCTAACCCAGACCTAACCCAGACCTAACCCAGACCTAACCTAGACTTAATTCAGACCTAACCCAGACCTAACCCAGACTTGATTCAGTCCTAACCCAGACCTAACCCAGACCTAACCTAGACTTAATTCAGAGCTAACCCAGACCTAACCTAGACTTAATTCAGAGCTAACCCAGACCTAACCCAGACCTAACCCAGACTTGATTCAGACCTAACCCAGACCTAACCCAGACCTAACCCAGACCTAACCCAGACCTAACCGTGTCAGTCAAAGTGTTAATTATGTCATAGTACTTGTATTGGTGTTTTGGGAAAAATAAGGCCAAAGTAGAGAGAATCTTGCAATTATCAAGGATCGACATAGCAAGTAGTATAAATGATGTCTTATTTGCTTTTGTTACGTTGCAAAATCACTATAAATTTCACTATTTCCCAAACTGCTTTAAATTACGTTTTTAATTTATTTTGGTACTATTTTTGTAAAAAATGATTCGTCAAAATTGAGCAATCTTAAATTTTTCATTTAAATCTTTTCTACTTTAATTATGTAATTTTCATGTGAATATCATCAAAAAATCCCTATTAAAAATCCAGTAATACTGGAACATTTCTCAGAAACAAAATAATAATTTCAAACTCTTTCGAACTTTCAAATCACTTATTTACCAGCAAAACACCACACAAAGTATCCCTTTGCAGTTTATAATAAAAAAAGAAATTTATAGCTTTAACACCCTTTAGCATCGAATTTCTATTTTCCAACTCTTTTCATAATAAGCAGCTCGGTACATCGATAATTTATATTTTTACACGTTCCTCGCGCCCTACTCTCTTCTTCTTATATTTTTCTATATTTTTAGATTATAAATTACACCGCAGGGGGTTTAAATCGAAGTCAAAACGTTTAAATATAGTATCGTTGTTCAAACTATGCTCGACTTTCGTATTTTTTCATCTCAGAGAACAGAATCGAACAATTGTTGTCTTCTGAAAGAACATTGCACGTTTGAGGTTAAGGATTTCGAAGTTTAAACGCAAGTGAACATCGTTTCGTGTGTATCTACTTATTTATTCTGATTTATTTCGGAAAATTTAATAATCCCTCGATATTTTACCCTTTCTGTCGAAATAAAAATCATGAGGTTCGTATCTCGATCGAGTTAGATGCATATCTCTTTCAATTTTTTATAAGTTTAACCAGCTACGAAAAAAGGAATTAAAATTCTGTAAAATCAACCTTCCAAATTGAATTTCACAGTTTCCTCTTTCGCTGTTCCATGGATTGGGTAAATTTTATTCTAATTCACGAAATAAAATTCACCCAATCCTGCAAGAAATGCATTTTTAGTGCGCAGGTGTGCGGTCACTGACCGCCATTTTGGAACCGTGTTAACGAATATCCCCAATCTCGACCCTCCTCGTCACCGGAGATCTCCCAGAAACTACGAAACGAAGAATACACAAAGAGCACATCCGCCAACACATGTTGCCTTCTCCATCTCTTCTCCTCTCCTCTCAATATCTCAAGCTCCTCGACATTTTGACAGTGGTGAATCGTCTTTTCTGTAAAACTTTCTTGCACGCCGTAAATCAAACCGCGCCGCCTCGATAAAAGCTAATTTTCCGGCGCACCGAAAATAGAACTGTATCCTCGTCGAGATCGACGGATACGATCGTACATCGAGCCCCGCTGATCGTTAAGAGCAGATCGAGGGATCGTGGATGCTTCGAATTACAAAATTTCACGTTGCAAAATCTGCTCGTATAAATACGAGGAACGGTGGGGAAGAAAAAGACATTCGAACCACTCCTAAGCGATACGCGATTAGGATACCCGTTAGTCTATTTTACGGGCGTTTCTCTGACCGTTGATGAAACGTGATCGACAGTCGGACAGCGATCGGGGTGGGGTCGCGTGTGTATATTTAAAACCGTTCCGTCAGGGATTTTCCCGGGACGTCTCGAGCACGTCAAGAAAACGCGTTCGATAATTCATCGATCGTCGAATCGATCGTCTGTGCCTTTTCGCGACGATGCACTGCAACTAATGAGAAAATCGACACGCTCGTAACTCGTGTTTATCGACTGCGTGACGTTAATGAAATGAAACCCCGTTATTTTTAACAACCTCTACCTCAAATATGCCTTTCGATTCATTTCGACTTGAAATGGCAGGAAAAACCGGTTGATCGCAGTTCGAACGAAATATCGCGAATACGGTGCATTCGTGAGAAATGAAATTTATTTGTTAAGAAATTTTCTGTGTTAGGTTAGGTCTGGGTTAGGTCTGAATTAAATCTGGGTTAGGTCTGGGTTAGCTCTGGAATAAGTCTGAATTAAATCTGGGTTAGGTCTGGGTTAGGTCTGGGTTAGGTCTGGAATAAGTCTCAATTAAGTCTGGGTTAGGTCTGGGTTAGGTCTGGAATAAGTCTGGGTTAGGTCTGGGTTAGGTCTGGGTTAGGTCTGGGTTAGGTCTGAATTAAGTCTGGGTTAGGTCTGGCTTAGGTCTGGAATAAGTCTGGGTTAGGTCTGGGTTAGGTCTGGAATAAGTCTGAATTAAGTCTGGGTTAGGTCTGGGTTAGGTCTGGAATAAGTCTGGGTTAGGTCTGAATTAAGTCTGGGTTAGGTCTGGGTTAGGTCTGGAATAAGTCTGGGTTAGGTCTGGGTTAGGTCGGGAATAAGTCTGAATTAAGTCTGGGTTAGGTCTGGGTTAGGTCTGGAATAAGTCTGGGTTAGGTCTGGGTTAGGTCTGAATTAAGTCTGGGTTAGGTCTGGGTTAGGTCTGAATTAAGTCTGGGTTAGGTCTGGGTTAGGTCTGGAATAAGTCTGGGTTAGGTCTGGGTTAGGTCTGAATTAAGTCTGGGTTAGGTCTGGGTTAGGTCTGAATTAAGTCTGGGTTAGGTCTGGGTTAGGTCTGGAATAAGTCTGGGTTAGGTCTGGGTTAGGTCTGGAATAAGTCTGAATTAAGTCTGGGTTAGGTCTGGGTTAGGTCTGGAATAAGTCTGGGTTAGGTCTGGGTTAGGTCTGAATTAAGTCTGGGTTAGGTCTGGGTTAGGTCTGAATTAAGTCTGGGTTAGGTCTGGGTTAGGTCTGGAATAAGTCTGAATTAAGTCTGAGTTAGGTGTGGGTTAGGTCTGGAATAAGTCTGGGTTAGGTCTGGGTTAGGTCTGGGTTAGGTCTGGAATAAGTCTGAATTAAGTCTAGGTTAGGTCTGGACTTAAAGTCTAGGTTAGGACTTAATTCAGACTTATTCCAGACCTAACCCAGACTTAATTCAGACCTCACCCAGACCTAACCCAGACTTAATTCAGACCTCACCCAGACTTAACCCAGACTTAATTCAGACCTAACCCAGACCTAACCCAGACTTAATTCAGACCTAACCCAGACCTAACCCAGACTTATTCCAGACCTAACCCAGACCTAACCCAGACTTAATTCAGACCTAACGCAGACCTAACCCAGACTTAATTCAGACTTATTCCAGACCTAACCCAGACCTAACCCAGACCTAACCCAGACTTAATTCAGACCTAACACAGACCTAACCCAGACTTATTCCTGACCTAACCCAGACCTAACCCAGACCTAACCCAGACTTAATTCAGACCTAAGGCAGACCTAACCCAGACTTAATTCAGACTTATTCCAGACCTAACCCAGA